ATTGTTTCAAAATCATAAAGTCGTTTCTGGTTTTATAGTTTTATGTTATTAGTATAGTCAGAGACACTAAATACCTTATATCTTATTATATGTCTTTGGTAGAATTAAATGGAACATGTTCCGGTTATCTTTAAAAGAAAAGACTTTAATGTCATCATGGAATCAGGAAGTGTATAATTACGTTCATAAAACGCCGAATAAAAAGGTTCAATAATTATCGATTGGAAAGTATTACATTATGCGGACAATTCCTACAATGAGTGAGACAACTAATGTTCTACAGGGCAAATTAGATAAACACAATCTAATCTAAATAGGGGAAGTATCGAAAGATATTGTATAATAATCCTCGTCTTGTTTACTAATGGATATGAGAGTACGAAAAACTTTGACAATGATCAACCATATTTGTATCTTATCTTGAACCATATTGGTTATTTTAGCATTCAATTATACACATTCTTAATTGTAACATGCATTTATCTTGACTTTTTGTATTGTATTCATGTAAGTAATTTGTTCTGTTATTGTTTAAATACCTGATATACATTCCATCAAACTTATGTTCCAAAATGGTAGAGGGCAGTTCCAGAACAATACTAGTGATGATCTAATATCATTACAATTCTAAAGGTATCACTTTTTATTTTTATATTTGTTCAGTAGGATTGTCAAAATAAGGAATGAAAGTGTTTGCTCCATATCCTCTATTCATGATGATTGCTGTATAATTAGGAAATAAAACAGCCCACATCTACGCAGTATACATTGTAATCTTTCCAACAACCACAAACACGGTCACACCGTGGTGAACTTCCAAATGAATTTATGATACATATTTCAATTATTGTAAACTTCTTCCAGCTGACTGTCTCCGCACGTCATATACATGGAATGTTTGTAGCCATTCTAATTTGCATACCAATACGTCTACAAATATCCCCTTTTTCACAGAAAAGAATTGATATATGCGGACAATTCTCAAAGGGAACGTATTACATCATAGAAAACATTTTATCTTTTCTTTTCTATTGATTTCTTGTCAGCGTTTTTCTTTTTCTATTATTAAGACAATAGTTATTTGTATCCTAGCATGTAAATCTTATTACGAAGAAGAAGTTTAGTGCAATTTTGAATCATGCACTGTATGTTTATATGTTGTATACCATGCTTAAATTGTCAACGTACGAGTTTAATGTTTTAAGCCGGTGCTAAGGGGCGTGGACGCTAACTTGCACTTTCCATTACCGTCCATGAACAGTCTCAATCAAACCGAGTGAGTCTGAAGCATTTTCAGTTTTGTCGTTTTTAACGTTTTTTAGAGATTCCGTTTACTCTATTTGACATTGGTGAGGAAATCATATAGCATATCTTAGATGGACTAAAGTGTTTTCTTCTTAAGATAGGTCAACGCCGATGTGACATGATCATTACTACAAAAAAGCCTATGTTTCCATGGATACATTTCTATCAATGATGTTGCAAAAACTTTTAACACAACCCTTTTGTATATTGTGTAGAAATGTTTATGTATCAATGATGTATGTTTATATATGCAATAAATATTATTCAGCTAAAGACATTTCATCACTTTATAAGTTGATAACAAATATGATTAAAAACATGATGCACCTTTTCATTGTAAAGAAGAAAACATTCAATTCTCAAAATGATAAAACATAAAAAAGTTGTAGTATACAGCACAGCTGTAATTGTTTTGTTTCTGTATAATGATTGTGGCATACAGTTTTTAAGTACCAACGTTTAGATAGACTTTTTTACAAATATTTCTAATTTACATTTTTGTAACATTCCAATCAGGTAGTATACATATAAAATATTAGTCTCGGAAAATGAATTGAACAAAAAAAACTTGAAAGATTTGGGAACATATTTCTTTGGTTGATTGGCATTCAAACGATCAATTCTAGTTATTTGGTTTATTTTAGTAGTTTTAGATTTTGCATATTGTGATTGTTCACTATTTTGAGTCACTTATAGAAGTACTAACAGTAATAGTTGAGCCAACAAAGATAAACGTGTGCTTGCTTACAATGCCCTTCTCCAATGACTACCCGTCATTTACTTCATTTAACTATGTTAAAATAAGCTATGTTATAATCACACAGAACAAGCGAATTAAAATGACCTTGTATAAGTATGATATATAAATCTAAATACCGTCACTGTAACTGTCACGTACCAAATTACAAGGTTAACATTAATTGGAGATGATATGGGGACATTGACTTCAAGAGGACTTGTATCATTGTATATAGTTATATATTCTTGCTATGATGTAAGTAGAAACAACAACAAAATGGGTAACCATTTTTGAACTCTTAACATAAAGCTATTAAAGAAAACGTATCTATCATCATATAAATGTAACAAGAATGTATGGAATACACTTTTTCTTCACAGTTATCCGTTACGACATGATGTTCTTGTATCCTCATCAACTATTGTCAATTAAAATAACAAGACATTATGCTAATGGAACCTATAAAAACAACTTAAAAAATATTATTTTTCAAAAATAAACCCTAAATAGTTCAAGGAAATCAACGTTGAGGAAAAGGACTCAGAGTTTACGAAAGTTAAACGATTCAAAGTTAAAGTTATAATTTACATGATTTTGCATTCTTTATCACCATATTTTTACTGCGTGACTTACACAGTGGCTATTTTTGCATATTTTGACCTCTTTTTCTGTAATTTAAGTGGACTGTAAGTGCCATTTGCAATGCGTAAATTACTTTATTTTCTACCTTTATTCACTCTTAAATACATATTCGAAATTTTATGAACATCTAACATGAAACTGGAGGCATGCTGCTTTAAGGGAACACCAAATTGAAAAATAAATTTTATCATAGAATTATCGCCTTTGATTAGCTAAATTTGTAAATATTAAATCAGATGTATTGGATTAACAACTACTTATATAAATGGAGTAGTTCGTCATTTGTAAGATAAATTATCTGTAAACTAAATTCATTAGCCGCCCTTATCGCTAAATGCTATTTCCGAACAATGAATTCATTAGGTTACAAAAATCTAATTGCAAAACAGCCTATTATATGGCGACCAATTTCCATTCATTTTACAGCCGGTAAGGAAAAATCTTATAAGTGCCTTATTTTATGCTACATGTATCAGCCTCAAAAGACGACTGCAACAGTTTTATTTGACGAGCAGCAACAAGACAAAGTTAAATTCACAATGTAATCTGTCTCAGAGCATAGCTCACCGGGCGCCTAATCTAGTGAATATTTATGCAAATTGAAGCAAACTGGATGTTACCGTGAAAGATATCATGCTCGCAATGAAACATAATTGGCATACGAAGGAATCATTTTATGTTTTAGGCTGACGGTTTATCGCTAGTTTATAGTAATATTGCTTCTTCAAAGTTCTCATCGCGCTAACATTATTGGCGGTATTTAAAAGAAAAACTTGCCATGTAAATGAAAAAAAAGGTTTGAATTTAATATATTTTGCAAAGATATATTTACTTCTAGATTATATATTCCAACTGCCTTGAAACAACTCTTTTATGTCGTGTCAGTAATTTGTGTTGAATGCGATTTTGATTCTAGATACTGCGTATACCTGGCGTTGAAATGATTCATTATTTGAGCAAATGTTGATTAAACAGACAGTTTCAAACGGCGAGAAGTGAATGCATTGTAGAATCTATTCCATTGTTTGTTTTGCATATATGTCATAATGGTCAAATATAGGCCATAACAATTAACATTGTTCAATTCAATTTCGTCCTTAAGATTTCGATTACATTCGTGAAGTCTACGAACGTATGCCCCTGGTACCACAATGTGGTGTACAGTTTTGCGTTTGGCATAATGATTACTCTGTCGTGGAATTTCATATTGTATGATAGTTTTGTGACCGAGTAATGTTGAAATTGCAAGACTGATAAACAGGTGTACCTTTCCATCATTGTAAGCTCTAAGTGAAATTATAATGTGGGCATCAGCGTAAGTTCTGGGTATCATTGTCAACAAGAGTGATGAGGGTGCTAGCATTATTCTCCTGGGAGACCGGCTGTCTTTTTACAATTACTGTTTCCTATCAATATGCAGTCGTATATGTTCGGAAAGGGCCAAAAATTTGCGATGGGTTATAGCTTGTTTTTATTATTTTTTTTACCTTCTTTACCTCGACCTCTTGGGAAGGATATACATCACAATCGGTACCCCTTTGAAGAAAGTAAACACAATAAGTTTACAGTGATGTTGACAACTATCATCGTCCTGACTATAGTGTCATTAGAATTAGGCCAAACCCGTTGTAGTCTGAAAAACAGACCTTAATTTAAGTCATCCCTTGTTTGATTAGTCAATTTTTTATTTCATATTTTAAGACTTTACAAGATGTTTTGTGTATTCTTAAGGACCCATTCTTAGGGAAAGGATTAAGTATGTACTAGCAGACAGTTAAAACAGTGACAAAACAGATCAAACTAAAAGGCTATTTTATTTAATTTTGTGCCTTATTTGACTTAGATATTATTGAAATTTAAATTTGAAGACAGTATATAACTCATCAAAGATAGTGGGATCGTGAATTAAGCCTCAAATGTGACTTATATACAATAGAAAATAGCGTACGAAATTTGACTAGGCCGAGCTGAGAAAATTGGATTTCTCGAGAACAAGGATATTGATAGGGGTGACACTTAACCTACTTGTTGTGTGTGTGCAAACAAAAAACTTTAACTTTGACTTATGTGTTGGTAAGTGGTTTATGGTAATTAGGAAGACAATCTTCCCAGGGATTTATTTCCCACTTAACTTTTAATACATCGGGTAAAAATTGTTTCAATCTTAAGTTGAAAATTTGAAATGATAATTTTGATAGGGGTGGGTATTACCCATTTACCTCTGATAGCTTATCTGGAGCTCTTATCATACCAAACTCGATAAACCGCACTTTGTCAATATAATGTCCTTGTTATAACAAAGATAGCGCTGTATTGATCTCGTTGGATAAGATATGAAGGTTAAGGTACAGAATGTATTTAGTGGCATAAAGAAAAGATTTAAATACTTTTGAATGGACAAATGTTAATTTTCAAAAGAATTACGATTATTTCTCATTTCTATCTTTGACATAGATGGCGGTGCCATGTAATTCTACAGCAAACAATGTTTTTAATAAAGACACATCAATGGACACAGCATACGTTTGTGAGCCGTGTCAGCTGGAAAGGAAAATATTACCAGCCGAAGGATTCTGTAAAACGTGTGAGGAATATTTATGTGAAATTTGTTTTAAGTATCACGTTAAACTGTTAGCTTCAAAAAACCATGTTGTGATAAGTAAAGGTAAACTACCAAAAAAAGAGGTAAACCCTAAGGATACAGACGCATTAGAAGAAAAGTGTGTTCATCACGTAGGTGAACTTATTGAATTCTTTTGTAAAACATGTGACAAAGTTGAGTGTATAATCTGCCTTACCACCAAACATGAAGACCACGAAGTTGTCTACATACCAGAATTCACAAAGGGACTAGATGTAGATGATCTTCAAAAAAATCTTGAAAATGATGCTAACTTTAAAGAGCTCAGAGACTCAGAATCAGAATTAAATAAAATACCTTCATCGTACAAATGGACAATAGATTTACAGACAGAAAATGCTAGAGACGTGCTAAAAAGGTACCGCAAGGAAATCAATGAAACAATTGACAAACTTGAACTCCATTTAGAACATAAAATAAAGACAAGGGAATGCAACGATTTTGCAATATTAGATAAGTACACACAAAAGCTCACAGAACACACAAATAAAATTCAAATGTATAAAAGCAGTTTGTATGGATTTAACAGGTATTTCAAAACAGCGAAAAACAAAACATTTGTGACGTTAAAATTGTTTCCAGACGCATTTAAACAGTTTACAGAATGCAAACAATCATTACTAAACCAATTGAGGAAATATGACAGCAACGACTTCGGAATTGAGAATGAGATGCGTCTAAGTATGATGCATTTTGTTAATAAACTAAAATGTGACCAACAAGCAATCACACTCAGAAGCGATGGTTTCGTAGATGTTAAGAAAAAACTTGAAACTCTAGAAGATTCGGGCTCTGTTTCAAAATGTTGTATATCTGCATGTATTGCTTTTTCAAATGAAAAAGTTATTCTAAATGATTCTGAAAATAACAACGTAATTCTTTGTAGAATAAAAGAAAGAAAGCAGAAAGATACTTTCTATGAAGAAAGAAATGACGACCTGGATATCATCTGTCTAAAAGCAGTGATTGCTAGTCCATGGGACATTACCAAAACCGTTGACATGGAGTTTGCTGTTACTCTACCGTCAAAAAACCGAATTCAGTATTTAGTGGTCGAAAATGCTACAATAAAGGAGGGCAAATCTATTGCAGTAAAGTTCAACTGCTCCGGAATCGCATATCTAGAAGGAACAATATACGTTTCTTACAAATACACAGGATTAGTTGAAATAATTGATAGAGAGGGTAAAGTTTTAGGAACTGTATGTAGTTCATTACGAGCAGAGGTACCGTCGTTCAAGTTTTCGGATCCTAGATACATAACTTGTGACAAAGACCGAAACCTAGTGTTTATATCAGACTATGGGAATGATTGTATTGTAGTGTGTAGTGGAGGCATAATAATTGCAGTGATTCAATACACTTCATTGAATCTTGATAGAAAATTGTACTTTCAGTGGATGAGAGGACCGCTTGGAATAACTGTCGACAAAACTGGAGGATTATTTGTCGCTGTTGACTGGCCTTTCAGTGTTCAAAGAGTGTCATCTGACTTCCTAGAGAAAAAAGTGTTGATTCAGAAAGGTCCTGCTTGGGGTATACACTCGATAGCCTCTTACCAGAATAAATTGTATTTTGGTACAAACTGTGGTGAATTATATGTAAATGAAATACAGTATTCTTGAAATGTTAACCATCAGTAAATAGGCAGATGCAAATCAAGTTGTGGACGTTTGTTTCTGACACATTTGTTTTCATGCTGAATTTGCACTACGTACAACAACCATTATATTTTATCATGTAAACAGCTAGTGTATATTAAAATTAACTATTTTAGACTGTCCTTGTGTATCAAACCGAGGAGATTATGAATGTTTATTTTGACCCATATAAAAACTTCCACTATGTTACCAACTCTTAACAAATGTAAGAGAAAACTGCTTTGAATAAAGACCAACCGACAATATTACGTTAATGATTCCTGAATGCCGTACATTTATTGATGAAGATCCTTCAGTGATTCAAACCAAGAGCTATCAGAATAAAAAATAACGCTCGACTAGATGGTAGAAAACAATTATATATGATATAGATTTCATATAAAGAGGTGGAAAAAATATTAATACCTGGAAAACTACAAGTAAAACGCAATCTTCAAGCGTTGTGTAAAACAAAGTGATTGATATCCAGCCCATCTGTACTTATGTACTTTGATTAATACAACCATTCAAAGTATTTATTTTTATTAACGATAGTTTTTGATAGCTTACCGGTATACTATAACTTTTATCTTGTACACTGATAAAAAACAAAAATATAGTGTATATTTTGATTATTTATTAGAAATATTAAAAAATGATGTATTGTTAAAATATTTTATAGTCTGAGCGGGTCAAGTTCGTTAATATGTCTGCTAAGGAATCGACAAAGGAATATAGATAAAATATACAAATGTTGTGCCGCATTTACATACCAGCAACGATAATTGTTGTTGTACAATTAGCAATTAGTCGATTAGCAATATCAAGTTAATATCTAGATATTTGTTTTGCAATTGCATAGATTGCTTTCATGCAAAAACGTTTGCATCGCCTTTCTTTGAGATTGTGTGCATTGATTTTATACTATTCCCGGGTGATGTTTTGTAAAACTCATTTTGAGAAATGAAGAAAACCAAATTTTAAAGCTTTTAGAAAATAAGCTCTATTGTAAATTAATGTGTGGTCAACATTAAAAATGAGTGTCACTTTTATATTTTATAGGTCTTTCTAGTATATTTCTTTTCTCTATAGCCATTACATGAATTCTATTTTTAAAGACAATTTTATAGCTAAATACATTTGTCATTTTGACGATAATGTTTTATGTGAACATATATAGTAAAGAAAGCTTGTTTCTAATGACGTAAGTATTAAGAAAAGGGATATGAGCAGCTATACATGATTGGCAAATAATTTATGAATCCAATTGATATGTTTGATTATTGTTATAAGTACAGATAACAAAAAAATATTGATTAAGGCGTAACGTTAGTTGATTTAAGAAATGCAAGGATTGTAAATATATAACTTCTTGCCACTGTATATCCAATTCTCTTCTGCACTATGCATATTTTATGTTTTGCTTGAATATGGCCGATTTATTTTTCCCCATAAAATCTATACATTGTATTAAACACAATAACAAAACAATGCAATGATAAATGGGAGAATATTTTAATATTTCACTTTTCTTGGAATAACTGATTTAACATGCAAGGATATTGAAAACAAATTAAATAGTGTATGAAAACTATGTAGCTACCTCGAAGCAAAGTAAAAACAAACGGACACATGTTTATTATAATGTAAAAATAAAACGATTCAAAATATTGCTTTTGAATTAGCAAAAATAGAGGGCCTTTTCCTTAAAGGTTTGGTTCAGTGTGCTCTGCTGCTGTGACTGGATTTTGTCGGGGACTCCGTTCTGTGAACGCCACCTTGCCTTGACAGCAGATGTCAAGTGATGTATGGCATCTGTAAAAACGTCATTGTGTTATATTATTTGGGTCCTACAGGATCATTGGTTTCGGCACTTTTTAAGTGTTGAAAATTGAATACCTTTCAAGCCGGTGCTAGCGGGCGTGGTGGATGTTGAACTTATTCATTATTCCTCATGTACAGACTCAATCAACCCGACTCTGTCATTTTCATGTATTTTTGTTGTAATTTATTCTTCCAAGGGATAACACATTCTCCAGATTTTTATATCATTTTATCTTGTAAAAAAAGAAATGATCTTGTTTGTTATTTCAAGAACCATTTCAACATTTGGAAATTTCCAATTTTGCTTAGATTGTTCTTGTGCAAAAGATCAATAGCTGTGTCTGCGCATTAATAAATTTGCATATTTGTCATTTTAGATAATAAAAAAAAACTCATATCCATTCAGTGTCTGGAAAGTATTGCAGTACATACAAAAATATTAGTGTTTATATTGATTTCTTGTCAATGCTCGTTTCTCAAGCATGGTCTAAAATGTACAGTTTCGTCTGCTCATAATGGACATTTTTTTCTTTCTTATCGAAACGTGTAAAATCAAGAATCTCCTATCAGGCGTGAAATCATGTTCATTTTTATATCAATTATATGAAGTGTATGGAGAGCTCTCCTAACACACTGGTACCGGCGTCCAGATTTCAGATGAAAGTTTTTGTGCAATGAAATATTTTACATCTTTTTTATTTCTTAAGGTATCAACTTGCAAGTTATCACTTTGGGGAAACAATGAAACTGTTGTAAAAGGGTAATTGCTCTGCGGAGGTTGCACGGTTACTATACTATTGTACTAAAATCTTTAAATATCTGTTACAATATTGTGATATAATCTCTCTAAATTGAAACCAAAACAAGACAGAAATGAGTGTTAATGATATGCTATGCTTATCTTTGTAAATTCTTTCGGTATTTGTCTAATTTGAATAAAAATGCACATAGTATGTTTAGGAAGCTACTTATCCTATTACTGAGCAAGAAGTTAATTTGGTCCTTTCTTTAAAACAAGTACATGTACCAGTAGTTTTAATGATACAATGTATCCATACTGAGTTTACCAATAGTGTGTGGAGTTTCATTTCTTTTCTGAAAAAACATTTCTTTTCTGTATTTCCTCAATAGATATTTTTTACGTATAAAAAGAGACTGCATAGCATGTAGCAGTATTTTTTATATCAAATTTGAGTATAATATATCCTAAATACTGTAGCATTATAAGATGCGTTTATGATCAAATTTATCGGCAAGCCGTGAGAAGGCAAACCCGCTTTGTGAGTTAGACTGCACACATTTTTAGACCAGGTCTTTTTTACTGAAATTCTAATGCATGTTTGAATAACATATTTTTACACCTTAGAACGTTATCAGTGCTGTAGGTACAAGAAAAACGCGCAGCAATTTTGAAAATAGTTATGTTATACATAGGATAATTATTTATAGATGATTTATAGCTGTCAATAAATAAGCGATAATATCATGCAGGTGGCAAGATCAGATAAATGCACAATTAAAGTTTTTTTAAGAAGGTAAATCGGCGTAAAACCATGCACACAAACAAACAAAAACAATGCACTCCTGATTTATGTGCCAATACAGAAATTAATATTTTTTCGCAGTAGTGTGCCTGACAAAGAAAATATACTTCATTTCCATACACGTTTAATAGTACAATGTATAGTTAAAGTAGTAAAAGTTGTTTCTGTACCGTCAATGACACTAAATTTTAAAATAAGTAAAAAAGTCATTTTCACAGATGCAGTATAGTTCCCGATAGTCGTCGAGATACAATAATCAAAAGAAGAGAAAACTTACCGACCAGTTTCAACAATAGTTCGCATAACATTAGAAAACGATGTACAAAGATTTTAGTTATAAATAATCATAACCATTGGGTGTAATTATTTATCTACATGTTGACTGGAAAACAGATAAATTACAATTTTCAAGTTCTCTTCTTGCAATGACTGTAATTTTGCCACATCATGGTAGATTACTTTCTATCACCCACTTTGTATCTGATACATACAGTAATTTTCAAGTTCTCTTCTTGCAATGACTGTAATTTTGCCACATCATGGTAGATTACTTTCTATCACCCACTTTGTATCTGATACATACAGTATGTCTGCAACGTGTCTAATTTGCATATGAATATATCTATATTGTAATTTCTACCGTTACAATGCCAAATGTTAGGAGGATGTTCTCTTGAAAAACGAATGTATTACACCATATAAACATTACTTTTATGTCTATGTTCTCTAGATTTTTGTCTTCATATTCTTCATGTTATGGTATTTCCACCAGATATTTCGTTAATCTCATTTAAAGAAATGAAAAAGATGGAATGGCAGAATCGGACAAAAGTACCTTAAGGATATATTTCTCTACATATAAGATTTACTTTTAATTATGTATATTTTGAAATGTGTTATAAAAATCAATCTGTTGTGTATTTTTCAGTAAGATATCTCTTAAGTGCATAAACAAAAACTTAAAAAACTATAATTACAATCAACGAACAGTTAATTGATCTGATTACTGCGATGACTGAGAATCAATTTAATTATAAGTGTGAAGGCTGTAGAAAAATTCATTTATTTGTCTTTTCGTAGCTAGCTGAACTTTTTTTATTATTGCATCATTATGAAAAGGTCAAAATGCAAATTTGCTTTTCACTAAGAATACATAGTGAAATCTTCATTATACATGCACATATGAACATATTTATTTTATGCATGAAAGAAATCAAATGTTATCTTTACGAGATATTCATACAATAACATACATAAATGTCACCAAAATATGGAGGTTATAAAACAGTATTTGATGTTTTTGGAGCCTATTTTTTTACATCATATCTGGAGTTACCAACGAAAGTTTTATATGGGACACAATAAACTCAACCAATTCTTATATTATTTACATACTATCAATGCAAAGACATTTGATGATGATAAAACACCATTCCATTAAATGGTAAAACATCATATTGAAGATGAAAAAGAGATGTACGGGTTATATAACCAATAAGCAATTAACTGTAATGATTACCTCTGTTTAAAGTAAAAAAAAATATCTTCTAAATTAAGCTTAAATGTGATGCAAATGTTGCATGTCATTTACATCACAAAAAATGCACGAGGTATGTGGATTTGTACTACTTGATAATCTATTAAGACAAGAGTTGGCGGCATCTGTACCTGATTTTTATTTATTCACAAACACGACATATGTTATTGGAACTTATTCGAACAAATTACTTGTTGCAATGCAAGAACATTTTATTGATATAACGTAGGTTTATTTTGTGAGTTACCACTAACTTTGCGACGTTTGGTTGAATAAAATTTCCAACTATATATTCCAATTTGTGAACGAAATAAGGTGCAAGTATATATACAATTATCATTTTTGTTTAAAATGTACTAAGTTTTACACAGTCAATGGAATGTCCATTTGTTTAAGACAATTTTGTGTGAGATGTCTGCGCATTGCAAATTTTGGATATAAGTAAGTATAGATAGAAGTATCAGGAAAATGTTTCATTTAGAATATTACAAAATTAGAATAACATCTTCTCCTGTTTTTATTAATGTCTTGCCAGTATTTCGTTTAACACAAAACATTGTCGTTTTTTTTCCATATACATTTTTCATTTGTATTTGTGTTACTAGAATATCAAATTATCAAAAACTACTGTGTTCTATATTTGCAATATACCACCATTCTAACTCACTGATACATCATTGACATACAGTCTACAGCCTGTCTGATTTGCATTTGAATATATCTATGTTACGAATACTTTGTTCATCACCAAATTGTTACAAGATGTAGTCACTTCTCTAAAAGAAACTTGTAAAACATGTGAAACATTTTTTTTCTCATTTTGTTCAATTGATTTCTGTTCTTCATGCAAACTTATGATTCACTTTTACAGTACTTTATGCTATAACACTTCTTTAATGAGTCCTTGTCATTATCTTGTCTATCTGCGCAGTCTGATCAGGATCCATGCCGTTCGCTATCAGTTTCTCTACTTGTAATAGGGTTGGTAAGCGAACAGCGTGGATCCTGATCAGACTGCGCGAATGCGCAGGCTGGTCTGAATCCATGCTGATCGCAAATGCACTATGTTGGTGTTGTCGTGACGCGGCCCATATTAAAATTGCAAGGACAATAAGATATTTACAAGTACTGCATTAAAGGAATGTTATAGCATTGTCGAAAAGATGAAAACGAATTGATTGGATAATCACCAATGAGCCATTATCTTTCATCATAAATTGTTATTAAAGTGATTATAGATACATTTTCATCTTCTAAGCAATGATATCAATGTGAAACAAATGTTGCATGCTATTTACATCAATAACATGCATTGGGTATGCGGATTTATACTACTTGATATGCTTAAAAGACAAGAGTTGCTACATCTGTATCAGTGTCTAACACGGCATATGTTATTGGAAAGTTTTTTGAATAAATTAAATTATTAACGGCGATTCACGAACATTTGTTTGACTTATAAAACATAGTTGTATGCACCTTGCTTGCATCCTTCTCGCTGCCACACTCGGTCTTTAAGGCAAAAAAACCCTGATAAAACCTTATATGTTATAAGTTTCACTATCTGTCATTTGAGGCAATTTATTAACAGTATCATAATATATGTGTTAAATACATTTTTTAACTTTAAATTAAATATGTAATGCAATGATAGCGTCATCAATTTTTTTAATTGAAAATATTTTTTCTACTTTGTAACACTTATAGTTTGATGGCATGCGATATAAATGCATGTATATGATTTTTATAAAGTTATCTGAAACAGATTAAATATCAAGAAAAATATTGTAGGATACAAAACACTTAAAACGAAACATTTTACACG